CCTTGAAATTGGTACACCCAATATCATGCTAGTCATACACTCTCAAGTTGAGTTTTGAAGCACCTTATGCAGTGAAAATCAATAAACTCACATTTTCAACCGCTCATAACTTTTTGCAGAGAACGGCATCGCAGATAAGCAACGTATATTTGAAATCAGCTCATAAAGACGCATCTAATGATATGCGGTCCATTCCAATTCGCCACCTCAAGTTGGGATCGCTCGTAAGAAGTATTCTATGCAGAATTTCTTCCTCTTTCTAGCGCTCCTGTGATGTTCGCTTAAAAAAACCGTCAGAATCTTCAACCCACGGTTTTTAGCTACCCTAAATTTTGCTATCATTTTAAATTTTCGTTTCGGACTTTTGTAAATGCTTTGATGACTGTTGAATAAAGTAAACAAAATTTTATGCAAAACAATTTTTTGGCATCGATAGCTGGCTTTTCAGTATTTTTGAAAGCAAGTTTTCCAAAAGTTTTCACATTTACTATGTCGTGAAATATACAAACGCTTCAAATACTACGAAATCTTCGTCAATTGGAACTTCCAAAAACTGTTTGTGATTAAACATTAATTATAACAAACAAGGGAGTTTCTACCGCCTCGAAATACTAATTTTTGAAATTTTTGGATGCAGCCTGGTAAGGATCGAAAAACTAGAATTATGGCAATTTTTTTCTCGAGGACTTTACAAATCAAAAAGAAAAAACATCTTTCACAAAGAGGAGAAGAAGCTGCATCGAATGACACCCTAGCTGTTTGCCGTCTAACGTTCCATGAGGATTAGGATGCCCAAATATGGAAATTGATAGCATTAGCAAAATATTTGTAAAAACCTGAAAAGCCAGCTATCGATGCCAAAAAAAATTGTTTTGCATAGAATTCTGTATACTCTATCCAACATTTATCAAAGCATTTCCTAAGGTCCAAAACGAAAACTTTAAAAAAATAGCAAAATTTGGGGTAGCTAAAAACCATGGTTTGAAGAATCTGACGGTTTTTTAAGCGAACATCATAGGAATCAAAACAAGAACATAACTGCTAGGAAGAGGAAGAAATTCTGCATAGAATACTTCTTAGAATGTTTGTCTACCTTTATTCTGAGTGTTTGAGAATAAGTCAAAAAACGGCACGAATTTTCGGACCCGCCTAATACTATCACCTTGACTGACCATTCCGACACGAATTCCACGTCAAAAGACCATCAGCATCAACCGCTACTCCCCTTCGATGAATCTGTTGTGGGACGCAAAAAGTCGCGATGCCACCGGAAGAGGATCGGGAAGCTTGGGTATGAGCTCCGGAACGAAAACGACAATGGTCTCGTTGAACTTGTCTTCGCACGACATCTCCATGTAAGCTTCATTTTCATGGAAAATAACAGCACCGATGGACATGGAAACTGCTCAACGCAACAACTAAGCGGAGATCGACGTTCCCACAAACGAAGGGGAGCTTGTTCAGTGACGCAGTAGTTCCCTCCTTCTGCGGTAGCTTCGATCACCGACTCCTTCGAGCGAAATAACGATTGAGTCGAGATTTGGAAGAAAAGGTCTGCCACAGTCGCAAGAAAGGGTCTTTGATGGCCACAAGCTCTTAACAAGTTGTAAGTGGCTGACAGGACCCAACCTACGACTACGACCGGCTTCTGAAAGAATTGCGGAGAACACGCCTCAATGACTATGATAGTGACTTAAGTGAGAGGAACTTGAAACACAACTCAAACATCATCAACTGCTTGAAAAAAGAAGAGCTTCAATGTAGGGTCCAAATGCCATTTGCAGAACGGCTTTGCAGCAGGATTTTCGGAAGTACGGCGAATAAAAATATGAAAGCAGCCAAAAGAAGACGAAGTTTTGAGAGGTGCCGAAGGGACTTCCGTGAATATTGCGCACAGCTGGCAGCACTACGGGACAAAGACGAGACGCAGAACTCTTTCCGATAAAAAATAAAATCTGTTACGAGGAACCTCCGCATCAACCTCTTCCGCTCATTAGCCGATGCCCGTTGTTCACGATAGAGAAGCACCACCAAGGATTCCACCTGCTAAAGTGCGCACCGCACTTCAGACCATAAAGACGTTGGCTCCAGGACCAAACCATCTTTCCGTCGAACCTTTGCGAACAGGGGGCAACGTCTACACAAATTTGTCCTGCCGCATCTAGCATCTTAACTTTAGAAGGAGAGAACTTTAGACTAATGGTATATTTCGAAAACAGTCCTTCACTTTAACAAAGGCGCATCGGAAAATCTTCGGAACTACCGTCCATTATGCCTGGTGACTATACCGTACAAGTGTTTACGAGGATGTCATTCGCATATCTAGGACACTGGATGAAGCCCAACTCAAGAACGTGAGAACAAGAACGAAGGAAGTACGCAAATGATTTTTGGACCAAATTCAGGGTTTCGAGAATCATGGGGAAGTGGGGGGAGTACCGCCTGCGTCTCGTCCTGACATTCGATTACGAAAGATTTCAACAGCGTCAAAAACGCTATCATATCAGAGCTAGTCGATCGAGAAGTGAACCCAGCTTGCGTGAGGACATTAGCCGACTCCTGCAAGAAGACTACATAACTACGATGCAGCTGCTCCATCACTCTTTGCTCATTCCACTTGGAAAGTGCGCCCAAAACAATGCGACACAACTCGCCGAAACTTTCACCGCGGCCTTGCTAAGGTGGTGAAGTCATTGATCTAAGGGATCGTTCATACCGCGCACAAAGGCGGACGAAGGCGGACGAAGGCGGACGAGGGCGCACGAAGGCGCGTCTTGTCTCGTCTCATTTCTCTCGACACACACACTCACTCACACACGCCTCGTCTCGTTTCTCTCGACACACACACAATCACACATGCCTTCGTGCGCCTTCGTCCGTCTTTGTGCGGCTTCGTCCGCCTTCGTCCGCCTTTGTGCGCCTTCGTCCGCCTTTGTGCGCGGTATGAACGATCCCTGAGAAGGAAACGGTCAGAAGTCGAAGTGGCCAATCCAAGCAAGCTGCCTATCATTCGATGCAGCGTTCAAAGTTGATTTCGAAGCTATACTCCATATATGCTTAGCGCCTTTGTGGGCGAAGTTACGAGCATCTAACTGCGAAAAGATCGCACATGAAAGTTCCAAAATTGATCACATTGTTGCACTTTCACTCACCTTGGTTTTAAGAATACGAAGTTTGACCCAGCATTAAGCCAAACGTGGCTGCACTATTTCTTAGCAAATTAACGGCTTTTAAAGGCTCACAGCTTCGCCCACATAAGCGTTACGCAGATATGGAAACAGATCTGAAGTCAGCGTTTTATGCAGCATCTAATGGTAAGCTGTTTGGATTAGCCATTTTCGATTTCTGACCATTCTCTTGTAAGACGAGAGAGGCATACAAGTTGTTGGGAAATGCCTCTAGAACTTTCGTTTTGCGAACGACATCGCTCCCTGAGCAGTATCATGATGTAGAGATGATGCTGAAGGAACGAAGCAGGAAAGAAGATAGGACTGCATATAAATCGAAATGAAACTTGGTTCATGAAGAACAATTCATGAAGATGCGAAAGAAGCGATTATGGAGACGTCTTCTTATGCACAGCCTGGACGTTCGCTGAACATGGGGAAGGATCCGAGCAGGGAACTTAACACGTTTCGGACCGGTGCTGCACATGGTGCAGCACGCGCCTTTGAAGGACTTTTTCAACGTTTACAGGAGGTTTTCTTTTTGTCCAAGGTTATCAAGTCAAAGGCCTAAGCTCCTTCTTTTCGAAAGGGTCTGTAGAGCTGTGCCAATATTTGTTCAGGAGATATGAGGACAAATCGAACATCAGTTGCAATGAAGTGCGGCAACGCGAACGACGCGTGCGACGTCGCAACTTTTCTTAGCTTTAAATACAAAGAGAAAAACCGTAGTTGCAATAACGATGTGTATCGTGTACAACATAGATACTTTTGGATACAATTAGTAACTGAGTTCTTGTTCCTATCTTTCAAAAAAGCGCAGAAGTCCTTCTCAAGTGGCAAAATTCAAACACTTCGAATTCACTCAGAACTTTGGATATGGAACTTATCTGGCATGTTGATTGCAGTTATAGCACACAGTCTACAAAATAAGGTCCCTTTGTTGGCTAACGGCTGAAAGTACACTCTTTTTCGCCGCGCGCGATTTCGCGGTCCGAAACGTGTTAACGGGAGAAGAAGAGCACCCGACCGCCTTCGGGCTTCTAAGAAAACCCAACAACCGGCTAACGGATCCGGAGTATTGAGTCCACCTGTTTCAGTCATCCCGCCGCTTGGTTAAAGGCAGCGTCCAGGAAAATCTGGACATAGATGATCTCATGTGGATAGTAATTTTGGGCCCCTAACTAAGCCACTGCCCAACCGGGAGCTCAGCTCTAACGGCTGAGATAATCCCCTCGAAACTGGACCCCAGGACCGTATTTCACATGGATGGCGCAACCCATCAGTTTCGAGCGAAGAACCCCGCGTTGCGCCCATGCAGCGATCCTGGGGTCCAGTTTCGAGGAGAGTGTCTCAGCCGTTATAGCACTACCTGAGCTGATGGTTGGACAATGCCTTGGTTAGGGCCCCAAAATTACTTCCCACGTAAAATTTCCACAGGTCCAGATTTGCCTGGAAACTGCCTTTGAGCTGGTGCAGGTCGATACTGCAGCAGTGCTGCAGAATGTTTTGCAAGTGATTTTTCTTAGTATGAATGACACAAGCTACCGTTTGCAATTTTACGAAGTTAAGAATGAGATTTTTCTCGTATTCTTATTCTACTCCCTGCAATCGTCTTCGTGTTTTCATGTTTTTACAACCTTTTGTCATCATGATGATGATTCTATCGCCATCGACCTGTTCTTGCAGATTGCGAAAAAGGTACAGTTACACAAATCGACGATTCGAATGAGGACGAATATATAATTGAAGTTTATTTTACATCAATCATTTCTCTGAAGCAACTTTATTTTGATACAACAAGCTTAAGTAATACGAAAAACATTACAAACTCAAGTGTTATGAATGTAGCTAAAGTAGTACACAGAAGATAGGACAAAAAAGTATAGATCACAAAACATATAATTATTTCACGACCAATCAGATATCTTTTATAAATTTATCACTCTGACAAAAACGAAACCAAATGATCGCATCAAGTAGTGTTGACTAGACATTACATATGTTTACATTTCAACAGCGTTGTAGCATAAAACTGCCGTTACGATGACGAACTGTCCTGTTGAAGGGTCAGCAGCTTAGCTTCTGAAACAAAACGATACTTCGTTAGACGTCTACGAAAGCATATTTATGAGAATTATGGCATAACTACCAAGTTTGTTTGACTCCAACATAGCCCGAGTAAGTTCTTCATCATCAATTGTGCACAACAAAGTGCTAAATTCCATGTAACTATCTCATGTGAAAAGGGACCAAGAGATACACTTCTATCTCACTCACAAAAGATGTTCAAAAATCTTACGGATGGTTTGAAGTGTGAAAGTGCAAAGATAACCAAGTCGAAAAAGACAAAAATAGGAGAATGGTGCTGAACTCTATCAATGCAAATGCACGCTTATCAGCAAGTAATATTAAGCCAGCTCTGGTACGAAAACTCGCGGTAAGATGATTTGACCTCTAGCAAGATACTGTCTTACCATCAATGTCACAAATAAAAAATGAATGCGTATAAAACACGGCCTAAGAGAAAATGAAATTTTCTTGAATGTAATACCTATTTGGTGGATGGAGCAATTCGACTCTCTGTAAAATGAGTTATTATTTACCTAGTCCTGTGACGTACTGATCGAGGACATTTGCTGCTTCCTCAAGTCTTCTAGTACTCTCGTCCATCTCATCAATTTGTTGCAAGTAGGGCCGCAAGGATTCATCTGCAAAAAGGAAACTATAATAGTTAGGAATTAACAAGCATTGGCACTTACATTTATTATTTAGCCGTGAAAGCTTTTCGGCAATCTTCTCAGCCACAATTCTCATGTCGACGTAGCGTTGTGCAGTGGTTCGATTCATATCCTCTAAGAGTTTATACTCATCGATGCTTCCTGGATGCATAATATTACGTTTAGGATAGGATATCAACAATCTTCACCATACACGATCTATGCAAATTAAAAACATATTCAATACCTAACCTTGTATTTGAGACTGCAGGAATGCGCCGACTCTGTCATACATTGCATCAGCAAGCTGCTTGATCTCAGGACCAGGAGCTGGGGTTGACGGTTCTGGAGGTGAAGATGTAGAAGCACGCTCATTGATCTCGGCCATTTCTGAAAGACGCAAGCATGAATCAAGTTTGCTGCATTATCTAGGAGATAGGAGAAAGTTCGAAACGAGGAATTAAAGTCGAAGGGTTTTGTACAAAGTGGAGACGTGAGAGGATCTCGAAATCAATTCCCAATCGCATCAATATGTCATGCCATCAGCAATAAAAGATTTTTAGAGGAAAAAACGAGCTCAGAAAATTTTGTAGAGCAATGATTTCTATCTTCGTGCATTCACGGCAACCGCCTTAGAATGCTCGTCTGATTTGATTGGAGCGCGATATTTCCCCCTGTGGGATTGTATCGCTTTTTTGATTTCCCTGAAGGCTTTTTTTCCTATCTTTCCTCTTTGTCACCAATGGTTCATAATAACTTTCAGGTTGCTCGTCATTCCTCAAGTTGATAGGGAATGCCAAGAAACTGGAGCGTGTGTCTTGCAGATCGCGTGAAATTGGAGGGCGTTGAGCTCCAGGAGATATTTGTCAAACAGGAGGATACACCAGGATATGGAAGGTATACGTTTGTTTTATGATCAGTTAATGGTGCTTCATCAAAACAAAAGAGACCAATGCAGTGATTTTAGCAAAAGTTTGCATAATTTCTTTTCATTGTGGTTGTATCGTGCGATACACATGCCTAATGATTGAATATGTAAGCAAGATGGTCAGCGCGACTTATTGAAATGTATGAAAACCTCTGAAAGGCGGAAAAGGCAGGAAAGTGATTGCAACTACTAGAGACCCCTACACATGCTTTCAACTTTGAAATCACTTTTTACACTCAACCGACTTCGGGGTTTCGAACTAGACTGTTAGAGTAGCTTTCTTGGTGCCCCTCTTCAGTGGTTCCCAAGAAAGGTACAAAATCTTGTAACTGGTATAATTATTTCCTAGCTTCTCCAAAATGGATGGCTTCTTGACTGTTTCCTTGTTTTTAGTCGCTGAAAAAACCATCTCTGCGTAAGATATGGTGAGCTAAAAAGCGCCTTTTCAGAGAGTCAAAGCCCTCCACAAGTAGTGCGGATATCCCTGGAACACTATCCCGTTCTGCGCCAGTAGCAGCAAAGAATGCTGCTAGAGTGTCAAGGTTAGCGTTCTGCTTGCTGTTTCACATTCATTCATTTGCTAGCACTCAATCTTTTCTAGGCTTCTATTGAAGAAAGAATATCCACTAGATCAAAAGATTTTCTACTGTCATAATGAAGACTGTAACTATGTAGGACCTAATGCTACAGCATTGCATAAGCACTGCAAAAGAATGAATCACATCCGTGAAGTACCATCATATGAAGAATGCCCTGTGTGCAGGGTGAATTTGCGAGATATAAAAGCTTTGATTCTGCATGCAATAGAGCATCATCAATTTAATGGAGAGGTCAGAGAATTAGACTTCGATAATTCTGAAGCGTTTGAGGTGAGCAAAAGTGAACATGATCTCAAATAACTTGAGCTATGATTATAGATATGGAAAGAAGATGTTGAAAGGAAGACAAGCACTAGATATAGCAGCAGATATACCAAAAGAAGAAATCGGATTGAGTACTCAAATTACAGATGCGACCGGTTAGTCCCGATGTAATTGTGCTATCGAATCATTTTGGTTACATTTGTTATGTTGCTATCTTATAACGTTTCAGCCTCGGGCGTAGTTCATGCGATTTCATCGCTTCGCGATTCTCCCAACAAAACAAATGTTACGAGTCCATTGCATGCCGATCCATCTGCACATTGCGGTTGTGATAGTTCTCCGATACAACTAATCGTGACTAACTATTACAACCAAAATGCGAGGTGAGCGACATGCAATGAACTCTTAACAGTTGTCTTGTCGAGAGAGTTGCAAGGCGAAAAAATCGCGTGAACTATGCCCGAGGCTTAAAAATGTTTGTTACTTTCATTGTGGCTTCCAGTAAACCCAAACATCTTTTTTTGGCCATCTAGACATTTAGATCGGGCACACCCAGAACTAAGTCTCGAGGTTTACGGAAGCCTCACACAAAGATTGTCAACAAGTCCTGTACGGCCTTTTTGAAGGTAAATTGACTTCTTTGCTCGTTCTTACACTTGCATGTGGATTTGCAGGTGAAGAAGTCTCTTTTGAACAACAGCATTCATGTGGAGTACTGTACATCTCATCTGGGCCATGCACTGCAGCCGCGCAAAGCTAAAAATATCCCAACTACTACTGCCGCAATTAATAACGAACAGATTGGTGGCCTTGCGTCTGTTGACATGCATAGAAATCCGCAAGAAGCAGTTTCTTTGATGGCATGTAAAAAACTCGAAATTGAGCTCAAAGAAGTGGGTATGCTAAGCGCTTTTGTCCTTCTCCTTGAGCAGATAACCGTCTAAGTAATGATGTTTCAGAAAATAGACTTGGTTATGATCGTGGCGCGCAGACTAAGTGATAGTGGAACTCAAGAGGCTAGTGTTCGACTAGCTCGAATGTTAGAAAAAGTTAACGAAGCATTAGAGTATGTTGGTTTTCGTTGATCTTTGTTCTTATCTCTGCTAACTTTTCCTAGCTCAGATAACAGTGAGGAGAGTCGTCTGAAACACGTTGCTTTTGGTTGCAAGAAGGCTCAGGAAGCAACATTCCTTGCGGAGGTAAAAGATGAATATATCGCTAAATTCTTTCTTCCGACGGTGATTTCAGATCAAGTAAGATAACAGGAGGAAGCACAAAGTTTCTGTTGGAGAAGACTGTTTGCTAGAGTCAGGCTAACGTTCCTAACGTTCTTGCATGGACTGAAATGCAAGTCTGTGACACTACTGTAACTTGTACGGTGTAATATCATGTTATTAGAATACCAGTGCTTCACCTCTGCTTCGCAGAGGTTCGCACTGGCATCGAGAGCCGTGGTAAACTCACTTTCTGAGAGCTTGTCTCTCAAACATTGTTCGGTTTATTGCAACGTGACCCGCAGTTAAAAATGAACCATGCTCGCTATCTTAACCTCACATGATGTTTAGTATCGTAAATCATTCTTCACTGTAATTTCGTAACGGACAAACTCCACACAACTTCAGATTAAGCCGCTTATTATAAGTCATGATAGAATATGATTTCTTTCGAATATTTTACAGAAATACCCCGGGTCTTGGAAGGTGAATTTAGTCAGGCGGTACATGGTATTATGGTACTACAGGCCGTATAAAATCAATTGCCTATGCGTAGTTTTGAAAACGCGCGGAGTGGGTACAGACCAGCGGAATCGGGTACCGAAGCGTTACAGGATTTTACAAGCGACAGTAAGCGCGCACTTCTTTCACATGTTTTTAGACTTTTGAAGTAATTCATCCTAATACATACTTTACAATGTTGAGAACAACACGGAAGTTGATGGGAATTTCTTGAAAGATAGTGAACGCCTGTGGTCCTCGCGACGACCGCTTGCTTACGCTGGTGTTCAAGGGCGACTCGTTTAGGTTTTATAAGGTCTATGGTCTCGGGCAGAGTTTACGCGATTTCATCGTCGCGATTGATAGCGACAAGACAACTGTAACAATATCATTTCATGCCGATCTTCTAGCATTTTAGTTATGATAGTTACATATCACGATTGGTCGTGTTAGAGAACTTTCACAGCCAAAATGCAATATGATTGGCATGCAATGAACTTGTAACACTTGCCTTGTAGCGATGAATCGCGACGATGAAATCGCGTAAACTCTGTCCGAGGCCTTACGCGAAAGATGTATCTCTTACTCTGAGATTGTTCTGGATCATTTTCTAAAAATTCAAGTGTCTTTATGGATCATGTCACTTGAACTATAAGACGGCCATGTCCGCGTCCTCTTGATAGCGACACTTGCAGGCACGTCAAAAAGTCGAACGGTTGAGCGTTATTTAAGTAACATAAGAGAGCCTCATTGGGACATGGATGGTCGAAAAGAAGGTAGTATTATTAGTACAGTAAGTTTCGGCCCGCATTAGGCGGAAATTGGATTGGCGGGCGTCCGCCTCGCAACAGCTCGCGCCGTTTCGCAGCTACAGTACATCATATCGTGCTGAGAACCGAGGTCTGCGTCTCTCCCTTCTCCTCAGTCCCTGCCTGGCAAAATGCCAGCGCTATGCGCTCGCGAGACTTCCGGCGGTGCGTACGCGCCCCTCCTTATGGGATGTTCCGCCTAATCCGGGGTGAAACCGACTGTAATTGCATTTTTGTAGTCGCTTAGTCTTGTTTTCCAAGAACTATCCGATTCCTGGGGCACTCGTCAGACAGGGTAGCATTTGGTTCATTCCCAGAACAAAGGTAGAGTGAGGAGTAATATGCACGGAAAAAACATGCATGGAGGGAGGAAAAACGTACATGGAGGTGACATAGGGAGAGGAATCCAAAGTTTAGGCACCTGGCAGACTCTGTCCCTAAGCGTTAGAAGTTCACAAATCCCTTTGATCTGTCTTCATAGCTCTCCACTCCTCAAATATGTTCCGCGTAAATTTGGCGCTTTTAGGCCAGCCGGAAGGAACGTGTGAGGAGAGATGGGGGAATGTGAAAATAGAAGACTTTGAGGCTTTTGAGCGAAGTCTGACAGGTGTCCCAAAGTTAGAGGACCGAATCTGAAACGTACTTAGAATAGTACTCGGACAGAATGGGAGCTACAACAAGTGAAATCAATGCAGTGTCAGCATCCATAATTTTAGTGGCACAGAATTTTCAGGAGTTGGTTATGAGATACGCTGCAGACTTCGCAAATAAAGGGAGCATCATTCTCATCGTTTAAAGTCCGTACCTCGCCCGTGGATATAGGTCACTTTTGAAATCGTGACGAAGAAAGGATTTGACTGCGGTCTTTGCACCCACAGAGCATAAAGCACTTATACAAAGAGGCATCACCTAACGCTCAGCTCAGTCACTTCCAATTTCTAAACACTATCGTACGAGCAGAAAAACCACCCAAGTAGACATGAAATCCAAAAATGCGGATTCCGGAAGTGCATGCGTGTCGCGCGCGGTCCATCGCCACGACTTCGGATGCCCTATACTTAGACAAGGCATTGATATGGAAAGCTAAACGAAAAATGTATACCTGCACATTAAATCAATTGATTCAATGCTTTCAAAGTGTACATTTGCGTTCGCGGTGATCAAACCAAATTCAAGTACTTGCCCATTTAGAAATGGAAATATGAGACCTCATCAAATGTATAACATTGCTATTCCAGAATGCTTACTGAATCAGAATGATCAAATGTGCTATTAAATTCCGAAGGCTTGGCATAAAATATCGCCACGTATATGTTGATACATTCGAGTTGGTGCAAATGTAAAAGGCGGATTGCGCATGTTCGCGCACATATATGCTAATTCATGCGTCATATAAAATTCAGATCTGGTTGAATAGCATTTCACATCTAGTTATACGGCGAGAAACCACTTTTTATGTCATACATAACTTCGGTATTTCGCTTAAACCAAATAAAACGAGAATAATATAATCATTTCAAACTCAAACAACTAATATTCAAGGCAGAGAAAAAAACAGATATCATATGATTTTGTGAAGAAACTCAAACAATCTTATTAATTTTACTCGTTACATGCTGAACATCAGCATGCATATACAAAAAAGTGCAATATTGAATAGGCAAGCTTTGAAGAAAAATTCAGAGCAGTTTACATATATCACCGACAAAGACAAAAAATTCATTGAGATAATTTACGTTTCCCATGAACATATAAGCGAGGTTGTCGCGGATGTTCGTAGTGATCACTCAGTCTTGGCGATGACATCCGTGCCATCACTGGCATTTTTTCCGGTTTGCGTCCTATAAGAGACGAATAGAAAATGAGAACAGCGAAGAAAAAAGCTACCATCCCATCAACTAAGTGTCTGAATTGAACGCTTTATTTAGTTTCGAAATGAAAGATGTTTCTATCAGCTATGCGCAGGAACATATGATGGCGGAAACAGCGTTTCCACGCAAAACACCTATAGGCGGTATCAATGTGCGTGTCAAGGCTCCAGCGGCTTGTATCGTTGCGGTTGCCTCGCTCTTTGCGCCACGTCCGCGGACGTATCCTCAGATTCTTCCACGCTTGAGGCAAAACTGCTGACGATAGCAGGAAAGTGTTCAAAGGATACGTTCACGAACGCGAAGCAGAGCCGAGCGAGGCGGCCGCGCGGAACCCGAGTCGCTGGAGCTTTGACACTCACACTGAAACAGCCTGTGATAACTGATATATTGAATCAAAAAGACCGGTGAGATATTGATCGCTCTGATCCATCGCTGAAATGCTAACTTGCAAGACAAATGCTGAATTTTGAAATTGTGGATTGAGACGGCGCACAAAAGCGGAACATTCAATTAACTTTGTTATATCGCGGCGGTAAGACATAACAAAATCCGAACAGAGTCTCAGAATGTTTGACACGAGCGATTACTACCAATAACTTAGACTCACTGTTTGCTCGTGAATAACTTGGTCGTTGCGTGAGCTCGAGACTATTCAGCACGATAGCATATTGCCGCATCAAATTACGGTCTGGTGGAGGTATGTCCAAATCAAGAAGTGAGCGACTTTTCGGAATTTCCTTGTCGGCAGCAGCATCACGCCTTTGTATCCGTTGCGTTATGGCATCTGCCAACGCTCTCGATGTGGTGACGCCATTCACTGTTGAAGGTCCTTGTTGTAGTTCTTTGGGCTCCTTTATGCACATATCCAATAGCGATGGGATCTTGCCATTAACGTTGTTGCCATGAACGACTAAATAAAGCTAGCATACTGCGCGTGGGATCTATACGCTTCGAAAATGAAACATTTCTTTGTGTGGAAGAGATATGGTTGGAAAATTCGAGAGGAAATAAATGACCCAGTAACGGCAACATGGAGATAATTATACCAATACCAACCAGTGGCTCCATTAGTCTGCTGCTGCTGTTGTTGTTGACGACGATGGTCCGGAGTTTTCCGCACTGGGGACGAGCTGCTATCCCGGGATGATCCTCGTTTGCCAAGATCCCTTTTACGAGGCGACGTTGGTAAACTGCTATTTTTGATCCGTGGTGGAGGACTTGCGGCCGAATTGGTATTGTGCCTTGTAGGTGGTACTAGTGTGAAGGATCGAAGACGCACTTTTTTAGCGGTATCATCTGCATCATCTGTGACCGACGCACTTCTCTGCGTTACGCTCATTCTACGCTCACTATCGCTTGCGTATGTGCTTTTCGGTGAACTTTGTGACGATGTAGGCATCTGCTCTTCTTCATCTCCAGAATACCATCCGTGTGCAAGGGGCCCTTTTATGGATATCAATTCTGCATCGTCTCGTCTGCACATTTCAGTGGTGGTATCCGACTTAGTGACAACTAGAGCACGTTGAGCGCCAGGAGTTTCCCGACTACTTCTAGCCTTGTCCGTCCTATCATCTCCTCTTCTTCTCTCGTCAATTCGTCTCCATTCACCTCGTCTCGATTTGTAGTTACTTTCCATGAAGTGGCGCCGCCGCCGAGCGTCTAAAGAGGTAAATCATCTGTTTTATACACATCAACAAACGCTCCGTGATCGCTATTCGATTGTAGAAGAAGCAGGATGATCCTCGAAATCTACCATCTTCATGTCGACTGCCACGCATATGTCGGGAGGGAGCAACTTCGCCATTCCTTCCATTCCTCCGCAATTCCGTCTCTCTTCGATGCGAATATGTGTCATCATGAGGTTTTCGTACTACTTTTCCTGTGCCTGGCGGAGGTGGACTGTTGACATCGGCTTGCGATTCACTGGAGAGAACGATGTTTTTGGCGGCAGCAGCTGCAGCGGCACGCCGCATAGCATCCTCGTCGAGTTCCTCACAGAGGTCTGGGAAATCATCACCATCACCAAGACTAGACATGTGATTGGGACCTCTCGAGCGCGACATACTCAAACCATCGTAGTCATCGTCCTCTCTAAAATGAAGCAGCTCAACTGCGAAACAATCTCCAAACAATTCACACACGCATACAAAAGAAATATTTTCACACAAATGTTCTGTTACGGAAAATGTCGCCAATCCAATGCTATTGTATGTCAACATTAAGCGTAAGGCAACATTGTATGATAACCCTAGAGATAGCTAGCTGTTTCACCCACCCAGAATAAGATCCGCACGCACTCGAGGTGCCGTCTGCATAATCTGAGCGATCGTCACCTACTTCGTCACCTAAAAAAGAGTGTGTTAACCTAATATTTGCTCAAATTTAATTTAATTTGTAAAGAGGATATCTCTGCCAAAGAGCAGCATTGCTGCTTGGATTGACGATATACGACCAGCGAAAGCTGTTAACTGAATTTAGATATGCGAAAGGGCGCCACGTCTCCCCTACGCATCTTACAGTACAGCACGAGAATCTCCGTCGCTATCGTTTTCTTCGAAAACTCGGTAGGGGGTAGGGGTAGAAACAAACGAAAGATAGTAGGATAGCGGAGAAACCCCAACGCACGACTTTTACCGGACTGATCCAAGCCTAAAAGCCCTCTTACAGAAAGATGTTGAAAATGTCTACTAACTGCAACCATCTGACAAACCAAGAACTTACTCTCAAAAACAAATGAAGCGATGAAAAATTTGGTGCGCCATCTTAATATGCTTATCGACAAAAAAGGACGATATAGGCCCTAATCTATCCACTGTTGTTCCCCATAGATGAGCAGGTTTGATAATTCAGGCAAAATTAGCGAGTAAAAGAGAAATAACAAAGAAACTACTTACAACAGTCAACCTCCTCAAGTTCAAGCTCATCCAGTGGGATGTCCCTGTCATCAGCCGCGGTTCTCTCTTTTTCTCTGCTGTGCGGTTTATCGCCAGATGAATGCCGCGAACGCCTTGGGACATATGTCTGGAAAAAAACTTGTCTACGCTGCAGCTTGCAATGTGTGAACCTCATCCTCAAATCTAACTGATGCAAAAAAGTGAAGTATAAGCATACCTCGACTCTGCGACACCTTGGATCATACGGCTTTCGCAAGCGCTTGTGATCAGCTGAACGCCTGCGCAGTCTGTCACTTCCGTAGTAATCACGTCGATCACGATCATGGCGAGAATAAGGATGGTGGTGTTCGACGCTATGCTGGAAAGATGGAAAATTACGTAATTACATAAGCCGATGCACTCTTATAGAAATTTTCTTTGATGCCGACGCATTAAAGGGTCATAATGAAGGTTTCGTTGGATATCGAAATCTAATCTACATTAAAAATCCTAATTCACTAGCACTTTGCTATACTGCGATTTCATTGCATGCAGTGAAAGCTGATGAGAGTTCCGATCAAACACGCACGCGACCCACTCACATTACAAGTGCCCCCGAACTCTCGACTACCTAGTTCAAACACTTACTCTAGAATGCGTGTCTGAGTGGTGATGTTTTCTCTCTTCATGTTTGTGCCTCTCATGACGTCTGCGCTCTTCTTCACGCTCTTTTCTTTCGCGTCGTTCATCTTCTGCATCTTCATCAACACATTCAAGTTCATCTGGATCGAATTCGACATCTTCATCTCCATTTTCCACTTTCGAAGAACTCTGCAAGTACGAAAGATGGAAAGTCGTAAATCACACAGTGGTGGAATCCAAACACGTGAAAATGGGTACGTCAAACTGAGGATATCTTCCATTTCAAAAACAAACGATTCTACATATAGCAAATCTTGGACTATTCTGCAAGGTAGACAGGCAACATTTGTAAAACTCATCTCACTTTCAGCTGCAACCGTGACAGTACAGACTTGCAGGAAAGATCAAAGAATTTTTTTGACTATTACGCCTGCTGTCACCAAGACACTAACTAATATCAAGCGGGAGTGGGAGCGGAGTGTGACCTAGCCTTTTGCTAGGTCTACATCATTACAAAAAAGAAACGAGCGTGACATATACTTGCGTACAGGTATGCTGTATGGGTTGCGAAAATTCAGAGAGATTTTTAATCGCGCAAGTTGTCGCAATCTTATGCATGCGCCAAAAAAAGATTCAACCTATAAGACTGCTGAAATGAGACAATCTTGATAATAGCAAACTCACATTCTTTGCGGCCTCTTCCGTCGTCTTTGATGTGTTGGCAGTTGAACAAGACATAAGGCCTTCTTCCTAGAACATGAAACTTTACACACAATCTTGATTGAACGATTATCCACATTAATAGATCCAACGTCAGCTATGTCTTACCCCCGGTTCAAAAATACGATTTGGTATTCGGGGAATTTTGGTATAGCATCTACACGCCCTATTAGTTTTTCTGTTGCGAATTTTTACGCAGTAATACTCCATAGCAATGATTGGAATGGGGTGTAGAGTCTAGCAGTCGCAATGTGAGCCTCACAACGAGTATGTAGCATGTGGCATGGTTCCTAGACGGCGTACGCCAAAATGCTATTGGACGATGCGGCAGTGGGCGTGACAGCGGGAGATTCTATGACCCTTTCTTGTTTTTTTTTTCTCACACATATGTCGCCAATCTACATTCGAAAGCTATCGAAAACTATGAGTGGAATTCTAGTAGCCTTATCTATTCAGTATAAAACCAGTTGAGTAAATGCGTGACTAAGTGGGTTGAAAACGCGTCATCTACGGAGTATAGAGGTGTCTGAAACAGGATGCCCATTCCTCTTCAGCAAAACCAAGGCTCAACGCAAACGACTGGCTTGACGAAAAAAAAATGAGAACAGTTGCTAGGCACATAAACAACGTTTTACGGGAAAACAAAAAAATAGTGTTTGACGAGTAGCAGACAGACGTGAGTGATTTGTAAGATGTTAGCTCTTAAAACTTCAAAAAATCTCACTACTTATCATTTTTTATTGCGGTGGTTACATTTCAGTACAACATTACGACTTTCACTGCTGATTACGGTGTCGCTAATTCTTGCAAAGGGACAGATTAGTAAAACGCAAAAAGAGATTTTCGTTGAAGGGTGAGTCACCGCGCGTCATCAACAAGAAGATGCTAAGATAAGACGACTAAGAACTACTAATCCCATTTATTTTTACCCTTATTCATTGCTTCTCGACTTCAACTAAACCGAAACGATAAGAAGGAAAACTATACAAACCTCAGTAGGATCAACCGACCAATCTGTCTCTTCCACTTCCTTGATTATATCTTCATGAACGCTCGTCTAAAAAACAAGCATCACATAGGATCGTTGAAAAATACGAAAAAAAAAAACTTCAACTAACCCTCGATATAGCCTGCACTACCTCCCCATCTGCCATCGCGATGATCGACACGTGTGCTATAGCACTACGTCCGTTGTAAAATTGACCGCAAGGCAGCTTTCACCACTACTGAATGGAAAAAGAAATTCGTAATGACACGATGAACCACGATAGGTCAAATGGAATAGATAAGAAGCGATGATACGAATGCGGTGAACGTTAGAAAATGTAGCAAAAGCAGTTTATTACACAGCCGAAAACTGAAATGTCAGAAAACCTGTACACCGCAACTTTTTTCAAGCGATAAAAAAGGGTAATTTGATTCGATGTGATAAGAATACCGCTCCTTACGCACGTATATACGTGTTACAGGCGTCGCCACGGTAGCAAAAGAACAAAATGTGCAATTCTGTGTGGGTAATCTTTGACCAAAAAATGAGGAACTTAGATTTTCAAAACCAGAAAAGGCAATACAATCGGAATAAACGCAGAAAAGAAAGCTAGAGCCAACATAATGACAACGATATCCATAAAAAGATTCAAAATGAAAATGGAACGTATTTAAAATGCAAAACAACACATCATCGGCACTTGTTGCGTACTATCCTTGAATCCATATGGGCGCTAATGGAGCAGCTTTCACGTTCTCCAAATCGATTCGTTTGTCGAGTTCCTCGTCCAGTTCGCCGATCACCGCGCTGCGAACAGAAAGGGATAACATTTCTTGCGAGAATAGGCAGCAATTTAGGTCCGATAACATGTAAACGGGGCTAATTTAACACCTCTTTATATGCGCTCCGATAATGCATCGATCTCTTCAGCGACATCGTAAGACAAGATAAGCGTACAGTATCGTATGTTTTCTAGCTGCGAAAAAAAAAGGAACACCAGTGACCCTCCATAACAGTTGTATTGCTCACGGATGCCCTTTAACTAAAAGTGGCCTTTTTCAATAAATTATACACCATAATAGACTTAAAAGGCTGATTTGAAATTATCCTTCCAAATTCGCACGGCTCACTGAACAAAAGCATGCACTTTTTTAGCTTCAGACTGCACTAAATTTGGTGAATTGCTGCAGGGAAGTGGCGCCCGAAATTTCTAATTCTATTTTTTTCCACAATAGGAAAGTACATTCCAAAATTTTACTAATGTATCTTTGAAGCAATTTTGCATTCATTGTAAACCTAAGCAGTCCAAACAAAAATTAACAATGCAGTCCGAAGGCAAAAACAAACCTCTAATCTCATTCATGCAACATTTAGCAGATAAGAGAAGCCGTGTAATCAGCATTATAGTTCCTTTTGTCTGTAGGTATACATTTCGTTGAAAAAGGCCACTTTGGCAAGAGGCTTTGAATGTTAGCTATTTATTAGACCCATCAGTTTTGTTAGCGTTGCAAAAAAATCTGCAAGAAATTTGCTTGAGGTATGCTTTTTGGTGGCGCGTACATAAAAAGAAAAACTGATAAATGAAGCCCTTTTAACATATTTTGATTGCAACTCTTCAGTGGAGAAGACTGGATTGAGACTTTTGCCGCGATAGTTTTTGCAATATTTAATGTGCAACCTGTCTGTCAGGCACTCCACGAGAATGAAGAAGCCCATCAAATGAAGGTATGGGTGTCAGCCGATTTGCTTTGGCTTGCCAGCAGATGGGATATGCTGGCATAATCTTTGCGGATGCAGCGCGCAAAACCCTTGTTAGGATATCTATTTCTTCAAAAATGTGTTCAACTGGAACAAAACTACCCGACAAAAAATGTAACCCGTAAGGTTGCCCAGCGTAAGTGACGTCAAATTCTGATCTACAACGAACCGGTTATATTGATGAGTGTTTGAAACAAATGACTATCAACTTTGTGAATGTGTACAGTTACATCGAGATGTGCAGGAGATTGAAAAAACCTTTTGAGTAAAAGAACGGACCGCGTCTCGCTCAAGTAAGCGTTCCGTATAGATGTGCCATATATATGTAGGACTACCTCCTGCCTTCCCGTATAGAACGATGAGGATGTCCCTTCATATGATTGAGCAGCAAAAATAGTAAATCAAGCGCTTCTCAACTAACAAGCACAAAACTATTTGTGAAGCAGACTTGCCGAGAGCACTGTTTACAGTCTAGCAAATTCAATTGTTGATATTGTGCTCCTGGACAATATTTGCGCGGAAACGAATTGTTTGTGACAGGCGCAATAGCTTTCCCATCGTTCCAAAACAGAACGCCGATCACTAAACGACATGATTTGTCATTTGACGTATTGTAAAGGCAAAATTCGCCCTGTTCACTTCTCTTGAGACCCAAAAGGTAAATCAGGTCATTTAGCAATGCCGCGTTTTTCGAGCGAATTAAATGGATGAAGAGGATAAGTATGGCTGTATCTGATTTCGACTCGCGCTTGTGCATAAATATAGCCACAGAGCGCTCACTATTATTGTTTACGCGCAAATGTTGTCCTCAACGTAAAAACACTCGCTTTCAACTTTAGGACACAGAAGCCATATTTTGGTAAAATCTGAAAATGCGAAAGTTAAAAGCGATCATGAAAGAGCTGTTGCCTTGTCTAATATGTTCACGAACAGCCACTGTGTGAGAGATAACAAAGCTCATGGACCAAACCTCGCGACCATATTTGCTGCGTTAAGCCTAGTATAGAATTTCAATCCGCAGCATACGGCTCGCTAGACTATTAACACTAAAGATGTGGAAATCTACTGCGATGGTTTCCTTCACCACGGTCAAAACAACTTGCATTTTTTCTAATAAACAAGAGGGAACCAAACCAACTAATTTTTTCCAGTAAATAGAAACAGTCCGAGCCTAGGAACATTCGATTATTTAGATTCAGAGTCGATCGCGGCAAATCATAATTGAACAATTTTGACTGCTCTGAACTTAGTTCGTAAAGCTGCATTTTGAATCAGCAACACCGTATATGAAAAATTGCAGTATGAGCAGAATACGACATTTCGAGAAAAAAATCTATACAACTACGGTGCCACTAAAACTTGATAAAATCATCTAAAACTCCGTAAAAAAGATCGGAAAGTATTCTACATAATTGAGCGCTAGCGGATGCTATTATGGAAATGATTACCTACGTCCGGTGGTTCACGCTGTGAAAAAAATACTTGAAAAACAAAACTTATGCATGTTCACTCACTTAAAGTGCAAAACTTTCAACAGCTTTACTTTACGAAAGAGAAAATTAAATGTTTGCACAGAATAAATTCACTACCGCCTCATGCGACAAACATCACATCAACTAATTCGCCAGAAGGGAAAGCCGTGAAAGTAGTGCAGAAAGAAAAAAACAGCATCAAATGGAAAAACTCGCTAATACATTTATGAAGGAGTAAGAGAGTGGATTAGAGGGAGAACGCAATGAACAAGCATCTGTGACGGAAGCACAAACCGAAAACTTGATTCCTAGGGACTGGTCGTGAGGTCGTGACAGCGCGCTACACACCAATGTATGCCTCAACAGCAGCACGATCGATTGACTCGGGAATTTCGACAGCTGGTGACCCAATGCATGTTGCAGACACGACGAAGAAACTTTGCTAATCGGAGACCCATAATCATTTTTCGCTGCTTTTCCTCCCCCTACCACCGTTATGTTTACATTTATAACAATTTCTCTGCAAAAATGTGAACCTTATTAGTGTAATACTCTTTTTGCACTTTCTCACCCTACGAAAAGAATGGAGAAACGACTTATTAGCTGAAAAACGCAACGTATATGATAAGTGGGTGGAGTCATTCAGATTACAGAGCGAATTATTTTTTTACGAGGAATCACAAAGGTTGTTGAGTCGTTTACTTTGGGTCCCCCCAACTAATGCAATGAAAAGAGGATGGATGAGCCTGGAACCCAACAATTATAAGTAGATCGGGAGTTATTAGAATGGCAACGATCTCAAATCTGAGCAGAGAGGCGAAGTTGAGATTGCGAAACCAGCTCCAAAAAATAAAAAATTAGGCTCATGCAATACAAGTACAAGCAAGACGCGCTAGTATTCCATGAAAATATGGACCAAATTAATTGTTTGCCACATATTGTGAAAGGATTAAACGCAAATAATTTTGGAAATCAATCTCGATTATTACAAACGCTCATGTGTTGCTCAGCTAGTGGATTGTCTTTATCTGTTCAAAAAATGATAAGAAAATAAACTGAAATGTGATACGATGAAGAAACGGCAAAAAAGATAAAATACAAGCGCAAAGACCATTCGATCCGCTAAAAGCTTTGTAATAGGACCGCTCGGGAAGTTAAAAAAAAACCAAGGAGGATGACATGCGCAGTATGCATTTCAATCCTTTTGGTTTCAATGCACACCCAGATCTGAACAACTAACCGATGTTAAAATAAGGTCGCTATGAGAAACACAAATTGAAAATTTAGCACGGAATGTTAAATCATGGTTGCGTATAATACACTTAATATACTCCCACCCGACGCTGAGGTATACTCTCAGTACACCTCAACGTCTCTTCGAAAATTAAACAGAGTGGAGGAAATTGTTTACATAAGGTTATAAACACCGCAGTGGTCGACGTCGACACGGTGGCAGCAGCTGTGGAATCATATGGAAAAAATGCCACTCAGTCAACTCTTGCAGAGATGCACTTTGTCACCCATTCCTCCAAACCTCTACTATTACGACAGACTGCTTCGACGATACGTTATAATAAGTGAATCAAGACCAAAAGCACCATAACTTCTACGACATTTTCGTCACCGGGAATCCCATATTTTGGTGAGAGTGCTTAACTATGCAATGTGTAATCGTCACAAATCCAGTTAATTATGCCAGTTTCAATGGTCGCCTAAGAAAGCATTATGAAGCACTACAAGTCCATAATATGAGACGTCATCTGCGTGCGGTATAGAAAAACAAACGGTATATGCTGATGTTTGTTTGATAGTCGTTATATGGTCCACCAAAACAGCTGGTGGGTTACTGTAAGCAAAAAACGGCACAAAATCTCACTCAGCCGTCTCTTAAAAGGATTATGATTTCTTTCATACTGACCCAATTTCAGTCGCAACAAGTATTTGAAAAAATCAACAGATACGATGTTTGTGATTGGTGTGCAACACTCCCACACTCCAAATTGGGGTTAATCTGCTCAATAATTCAAGATTCCTGATCTTCTAAATCAGAGTCACATAATGTCTTAGGAAAAGGAGGTTAAGTACTCGACTAATCAGATTTCTTTTTGAACATCATCAATCAGTTCGGTGCAGCACTGAATTCTAAAGAATCGTGGCCGTCCAAAAAATATTGACAAGAATGTGGTTTATAGCATCGTTTACAAATCTTGGACTTTGCAGTACTTCAAGGACTTATGACGAGCTCTGCAGATCAGATGTTCAACAAGCTCACATCAAAAACTATTCAACAGCAAGCTTGTTGCGAGAAAATTAGAAAGCACAGATGGTGCATGTTTATATGAAATAAGAGATAATACAAAAAACCGTTCATAGTGTGAACAACATGGCCTACTTAGCTAGAAACGGGGATTGAATTCCGACTTGACAAAGTTATTTTCTCTACGTTGATTAACAGCTTCTCATTCACCTACCAAACTCCATCTACCTAGTCATCCTATCTAGCAAAACGAAGGTTTGACGATCTCAACATGACCACTCACCAACAAATCTCTTTTCTTAGCTCATTTCTGCATGTTCGCTCAAGGACAATTGCCTCTCGACCAAAATAAGTACAATTTTGAACTACTTGGCAATCAAGGACAATTTTTTGCTACTTCGAACGGTAACGGCAACTCCCCTCAGAACAAAACACCAGTCTTTGACAGGATGTATAAAGATGGCCCGTACGTATCACATGCTCAAGATGGCTGCTATATTTGCAGAGGACTAGTAAAATAAGAGAAGCCGATCATTAGAGTATGCAGACAAGTGTAAAAAAATGGTATAGACGAAAAAAGGCTCATATGGATCAGTTGTCGCTCTCAAAAATTTAATTATAAGAAAAAATACTCAACGCTCTGTTTTTCAAACTACATCTTCAATTTGAGCAGAAGCGGCTTTACAAAAGATACAGTCTCAGGGCTGGTAAACCGCAATTTCTTAAAGATAATGGATTAGATGTCTAGGTTGTTGTCGGACCTTATTATGCTTTTTGAACTTATTGCTCGCACAAAACCGGAGAAACAAAACTCACACATTGTCTCCTCGAATTATGTACAAACCCAGCGGTATTTGTTCGACACCTTGCGTTTCAGAATACACACGTTCATGTGAGTCTTCGAGAACCACATTGACGAGCTGGTCGAATCCCTGTGATGTCAGTATTTGAACAAGGTACTTAATGTCCAGGTGAAATTTTATCATATATATCTTAGCAAACAATCCCTTCAACTTTCGAGAAACTCTTTCTATATCTCGATTGAAAACGTTTGCAATACAAATTTGCTGCAGCACTACACAAACAATAAGCTCCTCAGTTTTGACATGGTTATGTACTCCTTGTATGTTAAAAAGATGCCTTTTGTAGATGCCTTCAGTATATAGAAAAGGCAAGTGAAATAGCAAACCTTCATCATTCCTACTATATTCCGTCCGTCTCCAGTCACGACTGATATGACTCGATTCATGAATGCGTCCAGCGACGTCGTCATCTGATGTACAAAATAGCTGATATCTAATAAATTGATTATTCTTACCAATTCTTATGTATAAAAATCGCAAAAACATCTTTCTAACACCATAGTCTCACAGCACTTAGCACATCACAGTTGTTGATAAACACTATCTTCGCCGCTTCCCCGAAACCATATAGGCAACTCATCGCACGCACAGACTGGATGCCGTTGCGTAGCTAAGATACATGTACGGGAGAGATGGCAGACGGTAAGAGGGATGAGAGAGCGCTTAGCTTAATCAGGGGACACCGACAGCGTCCGTAGTAACGCCTTGTCGTTGCGTGCGATGAGTCGCCTGTACATTCCAACGAATTATGCCAGTATTCGTTGCAAAAATCGTGACGATGGCGCAACCGCCGCGACAAGTACACACCCCCTCCCCTGCAACCGATTTTCTTGATTTCATCTCTATGCGAATGGTTTTTATGCCTACATATGACAGTATTTAGACATTCGAATAGACTGAGCTGAGGCTTGAGCTAATGCTGTTTCACATGAGTTTCACATGAGTGTTTTCCGCTCCTATGGGCGTAGAGACCGCAATTAAATCCGCCATCACGTATACCTCCCCATACCGTCCTCTACTCCAGAGTAAGACTGGCAGCTATGCAGTATTTAGCGGATTCCTTAACGTTTCATTTGAAGGCAGCGTCCAGGCAAGTCGACCTATGGGGATTTAACGTGGAAAGTAATTTTGAGACCCTAAATAAGTCACTGCCCAAACGGCAGCCCAAGTAGTGCTTTAAAAGCAGTGGGTTGGCAGAATGAGACCCGTGGCAAAACAAGGTCACAGGGTAGGAGCCCCATAATAGAAACTATGGGCCAAAGTTCGATCTTGCTTTGCCACTTCTAACCACCGAAATTTCAAAGCGAAAGCAGCGCTCATCTCCTGTCCTCTCCGAACCCGCCCACCCCATGGACGAGTGATTTCCGCGGTCAGAGCGCCAGCCGCAATGCTATAAGCATGAGCATGTCCCGCAACGACTCTGCGTCATGACGGGCTTCGCGTTCACTCGTCCATGGGGTGGGCGGGTTCGGAGAGGACGGGAGATGAGCGCTGCTTTCGCTTTGAAATTTCGGGGGTTAGAAGTGGCAGAGAAAGATCGAACTTTGGCCCATAGGTTCCATTATGGGGCTCCTACCCTGTAACCTTGTTTTGCCACGGGTCTCATTCTGCCGACCTACTGCCTTTAACGGCGGAGATATTCCCCTCGAAACTGTGCTCCGGGATCGGCAACCCATCAACTACGCGCGAGGACCTACGGAGTTGCATAATGAATCCATGCGAATACGATCCCGGGGTCCAGTTTCGAGGGGAATATCTCAGTCGTTAAAGCATTACCTGAGCTGCCGGCTGGGCAGTGGCTTATTTGGGACTTCAAAATTACTATCCACTAAAGTCCCCACAGCTCCAAACTTTCCTGGACGCTGCCTTGGACGACAACAAATCTTTCACGAGACTGCACCATGACTAAAGTTGATTAGCACAGGACTAGCATCGACCGCAGTTGACTCAGCTCAATCGCATGTGCGTGAATTGGCTTGGCTTCTGCCAATGACTATGGCACCCCCCCCCCCCCCTCCTTCCTTGCCTTGCAGACAATCCTCCTTACGCACGATGTGCGAGGGTAAAGATCAATAATTATCACACTGCGCGAGCCGAATTTCTCGCGGGCAGAGATGGAACTCCGCATATCCCTGAAGTGGCGCGATTTTCGCCACTACAACATCACTTCCATTACTGACTTTGTTACTGCCGTACAGGCTTTGGAAATGTTGCACGTTGTTGGAGAATTACATCCTTGATTTCTGTAACTGAATGCTAGAAGTCACAAAGTCAAAGGTATGTACCTAAACACGGCCATACTTTATCCGCTTGATACACTTCACTATTGGCCAATTCACTGATGTGACCAATAGTGAAGTGGATCAAGTGGATCAAGTATGGTGCGTGCCTAAAGTAAGTGTGAATATTTCATGAATTAAGGTAAAAAAAGATGATGATCTCAAAAGGGTGTCATCAAAAGCACCGAATCTCTACTTTTCGGACTTCCATGACACTTTACTGAAGGTTTGAGTTGCTGAGCGGAGAGATTACGCCTCCTGGCCACAGCCCCACAAAATTTACCTCACTTTACAACTCCACGTTTTTTGATAGCGAAATTCACATTTGTGTGAACCAAAACTGGGAAGAGAAAACTTTAATCCTATCGTGTGGTCCTGTTGATCATCACCACTTACATATCTTTTCTGGTACCGCTCTCAAGATGGACTATGCCTGGACGCACTTCACAGACCCTACCCGCATTTTCGAATGAGTTACCAAAACTGATCTCTCAAAGCTTCGCGAAGGGCATAGAAGTACCACTAGCCACTTATAAAGGTTTGTATGCTTATGAAACTATGGTGTTTAGCTTCGAAACTTACATGAAACCATCAATTGAATGCAATCCATGCATTAGTTCAGTATAGATAGGTGGACAATCCTGAAAGGCGAACACACTAGACCGTAGCCCTCCAAAGGTTTATTGTACTACTTATCAACCGTGGCATTTCATAACCAGATTAAAAGAAGTCTACGCAAAGGGACAAGGTCAGCCAAACAAAATGGGCCGCACGAGCACCTTGCATAGACTTGTAGTCAAACGGGTTATGGAGAGCAACACGTGAGACAAGCTCAATCAACAAGCGGCAAACGACAACAACATTGAGATTATGTGCCTGACCACCAGGTATAACGGATAACAGCAGTTCATAACAATGCCACGATCGCTTACGATCCGAACACTCGACTAGGAAGTGTCGAATCGTGCACGTGGTCATGGGGCAGTCATTACAAACAGAATAAAGAGAACAATCGCCGGCGACGGCGCGCTGAGTCGCAACAACAAAATCAGAGGAGTTCGTAGAGCGAGACAAAACACAGAAAAGAAAGGTAGCGGCGGCAGTACTTAGCGTCCTCCAATGGGGAGCAGAGAGGAATTGAATTGAATGAGAAGGGAACGGCAGACTCACTAGCCAGTGTATCGTACGAGTGTAGGAACGGAAAGGGAAACAATTTAGTGGCCTTACTGACATAAGAGCATATGAGGAGATGTTATGAGAACACTGAACTCCGGGCAGAAACTGGTTGAAGGACTGCCTTACATGAATGATGATGGTACCTTAGAAATACAGTTATGTCTTCTTGGAGCTTGGTGCGATATGCAATTATGTACAAGGGAGCATTTGCAACGTGGAGCGTAGACAACAAACTGAGGAAAATGACTAACTTTCACGCTACAAAAAGGATAGATGCTTCGCTTCGTGCTCACATTCGCAACGCTTATAAGGGGAGGATTGATTGACAGGAACTATGGGCATTTCTAGAAAACCGACTTTATATTCGTCAGTGGTGATTGGATTAGTCATTTGCCATGAGACAATTAAAACCGCATGTTGGACTTAGAGGACTAAATTTTATGATTTTTCTTGTATTCTGAAGAGATGATCAGTGTTCGAGTTCAATATTGCTGCTGCTGTGCAGCCTGTTGATAACGTTGCCCGCTTGCGTTGCCATTTTGACGAGCACCACCTTGCTGGTAGGAATCGTATCCAGCTCCTTAAATATTTTCTAGACAAATAAAAGAATACAGCTTATAATTGATGAAACGTGCACATATAAAATTTGATGTAAATGGATGAGTGACAAAAAAGAAAACTGATCATAATCAAAACATAAAATACCTCCTGCACCGTAAGCATTCCCGTAAGCGGCCGATCCGTTCTGTTGACCATAGAAAGAGTTGGCTGCTCCGTACCAATCTCCCCATGCGGCCCCAGCTCCGTACGGCATTCCCATTTGTCCCCAGGCTCCATACCAAGCCGCTCCTCCATTGACGCCACCTCGACCTCCATACGGCCTCATGCCGTTACCACGACCTCCCATGGCGGCAAATCGCTTTCCTTGAGGGACAGCTTTTTTAACGTCGCATTCGCGATTGCCGAAGGTTTGCTTCGCCTGGGCGGATGCCTTATCGGCAGCCTCTTCCTCTTCGAAGACAATGAATGCGAAATTACGGCGCATCTTGGTCTGCTTGTCGAAAGGCCATTCGATGTCTTCGACCTTTCCGAACTGTTCGAAGTGCGTTCGGAGTTCGCCTTCGTTGTAGTCAGATGGTAAGCCACCAACAAACACTTTCTTGTTCTCTCGTGACTTAGCCGGCTTTACTTCTACCTGAAAAATAAACTGAGAACATCACCAGAATATGCATTCTTATGCAGTGCTTGATATAAATTCGGGGATAACAGCATATAGAGAAGGAAAAAAGTGAAGCCTTTGTACAGAGTCGGAAAAGTGTCCGCAGCTTTACGCACCTGCTTGTTCTTGATCGTCTGCTCCCTAGCAGCAAGCGCTGCCTTGCAACCCTCTCCTGTTGCAAATTCGACGAAGGCAAAGCCCCTCGAGCGGCCGGTGACTCGATCGAACTTCACCTGGGCCTGAGCGACCTCTCCAAACTGTTGGAAATGATTGGTGAGATCTTCGTTGAGCACATCGTACGCAATACCACCAACGAAGATCTTTCTGGAATGAAGCGATACAATATATGTGGCCATGGTTATAAACAGTTGATGCATTAAGAAAGAGACATTAATGTTGTGTACTTTGCGATAGAAGGAAAAACAGCTTCTCACAGCGCAAATGAAAGATGGTGATGTAGTCAATGCAATTCCAGATAACATAAGACATACCAAAAAAATGCTAGAACACATGATAAGCTTGATGAGTTGATGCTTTTCGGGGTGGTCATACCCAATTTATTTTAACAGTGGAGATGATGCAAAAGTACAACGAAAATGCTATGACAAATCCCTTTTGCTTCCCCTCATAAAATTCAACCACACAAAAGTTATTCAAATTCAAAGCACCAAGAAAGCACATTTATAGAGGTCAAGCAATATGATTACTACCAAAACTCCTTCCAACACCACACGTTGACTATCTTTTCTTTAAACTTCACTTGCTAGTGCTAGTAAGTGAAGGGTTAGAAGAGAATCCCGAACATCTAACCGTTTTGGTAATAGTCACGATGTGCCAAACCAAGAAAGGCACGAGAAGTTGGGACGCCCCAAGATACCCTTCCCTCCTGCCCAACCGCTAAATTAAACATAGAAGAGATGAAAGAAGGGTTCGATGTACTAAGCCGATGCTGCAATCTGAGTTTATACTACACACTAGGATAAAAGTGATATAATCAACAAAACAAAGGCAAAAAAGACGCTAAAAGATGGAAAGCCAAGGAAGTAGAACCATGATGTAAACTGACTTGTCTTCGTTCCCTTTGTTGGAATGGCCGTTCTCCTTGACAGTCTCGTCGGTATTTTGATTTAGTTTACTATCTTGGGCATCCATAATTGTACTAAAGGCAGCATGATAGAACAGTGATTATCCAAAAGAGAATAGGTTCACCTACCTCTACAGAAACGATTTGACGGAGTCTGACGTTTGAATAGAACAGAAGTTACAAAAAGGAGGGAAGATTACGAAAAACCAGAGAAATATGAAAAGAGAGCCTCGAGACTATCTAGAAAATACCCTAAAAATTGGTAGAAATCTCTGGCAAAGTATCAACAACCGAATGCATTGGCGGGAAACGACGAACACAAAAGAATTCCACGTCGACTAGAATAGGAATAGCAGTTCAAACCAGTTGAGACCGTCCAAAACGTGATCTTACGTGTACGCAAGGAAACACCATAAAAAATACGTTTTTTTCCAACGTAGTAGACGGTGATCCCAAAATTTGCGAATAAACAGCGCCAATGACGAAATGGAATCGAACACAAACCCGCCTTTGCACATGCAAAATGCGAATACAAGACACTTAGCACTTTAGCGTGCGAAATGCCTGCCAATACCACTATTTTGTGTAAACATATAAAAAAGAAAATTCAAAAATCCACCAGTTTTCCGTGGAAGAAAAAGAACTTTGATACGGTAATGCGCGGCGTCACCGCGGATTCCCGCCAAGACCCCGCGGAATTTCGCATCGGTGGCACAAACAGTCACGTCCTTTAACGTGATTGGCGCTGAAGTTTCAATGGAAATCGATCGTTTCTAACCGGGAAAAGCGTTCTTACCCTGATTTATGTGTTTTGCTATAGTGTGCGTTCTACTACCAGGCACAGAGTCATCGCTAGCAACGCAAGGAAGCGGTGGGAGAGAAGAGGGGCAGGTTTATTTCAAATGAGAAGAGTTGGTGCTTATGAAATGGAAATTCCGTTGTAGATGGTTGGTTAATCCTACTTTTACCATGGCTGGGATCAATCCTAATTTGACCACCACGCTCCAAGAAACCAAAAGTATCAATTGTGTGTGGAAGCATGTTTTCGGCTGTAGAATGAAGACGAAGTGCCATTTACAACGCTTTATCACACGGTGCATCCATGTGGGTCCCGGTAGGACGCCGGCACAGCCATGGAACGACTCTGGCACGGACAACTCTAAACGCGGCCTCGAAATGCTGCCCACATGTCGAGAAACTTCCTCGTATCCTGCTTCGCTGAAGTATGCGCTTAAAATTTTTCACAGTTTTCTCAGCTTCATCAAACCACGCCAGAAACTGCTTTCTTTACATTGCAGTGTATGTCTGAGCCAAACAAGCTTATCCTGCTCATTTTTCATAATAAGTCGCCAATTTACCCATAGAATTTCCAGAAAATTATCATAATAACTACCAATTGCTACCAGACATTGATTCAAACCGAGGAGATCCGCTTACCCGCTTACCGTGAGCTGTAAAATAAGTTAAGCTAAAAACACTACGTTTTCGAAGCTCGTTCTATAACTGTGCTTTTGTACTTTGGAATATGGTATTGGCTATTGCTGCAAAAATTTTCCCACATAACACAAACAGCTATCATCTTTTGAAGATGGGCATTCGTGGAAATCCTAAGCATGGAGCACTAATCTTGTACATCAGTTTCGGAAAACCTCAAGAAAATGAGCAAACCCACCAGACACCCAGCAACCTTCGTTAGCATTTTGTGCATTCAACCTTCGTTGGCATTTTGTGCATTCAGACTTGCTTATCGAAGATTCTCATTTTGTTGACTCAAGACGTAACGCGGCTTCGGTCAAGTCGCGCCTTTATGTAGGGTTAATTAACTGTATTTATCAGGTTGTCAAGAAGATAATGTTTTTTTTATTTGCTCGTTATGGCACCGTGAACAGTCAAACCTCAAAAACGCATGAGGGTACTGATCGATAGGGCAAAGCAAGCTTTACAAGAATGTATGCAAATATTTGCTCCAAATCTGTTCCACATAAAGTTTGGAACCAAAATCCAAAAAGATTTGAATAATTGAATCAATCGAAAGAACTATATCTCAGTGAAAAAAACCCCAGAAGTTTCTTACTTGCCATGCACATACTTTCTACATGTGGCATTTCCTGTGAATTTTGCTGGTTTTTTCCATGGCTAGAAATGGAGAAAAAAAATAATTTTCCTATTTTTGCCAAAGCTGTTCGCTTTAGCTTTACCCATGTAGGAACAGCCGCTTGGCTGTTCCTACATGGGTAAAGCTAAAGCGTGAAGCTTTGCAAGTATAAACATGATTTTTTGGCCCTTTATAAGCGATAGTTTTTGAGAAAAATTAAATTTAGTGGAAAACCTTTGAAAAGGGCTCATTCTGGTCGCTATTGGCCATGTTTCTCGTGTTCCAGCTATGGTTTAAATAAGAAAATTTACAGGCAAATACACGATGTAGGGAGAGTGTGCCTAGACAAGGAGCTCGTAAGACTCTTTTACACGAAGATACGATTTTTCTCGATTTTTTCATGCATTCAGGTCCCTTTAGATTTTGACTCCAAACTTTTTGTGGAACGAATTCGGAGCAAACCTTTCGCTACCTTCAGTGCTTGCTTTGCTCTATCGAACATTACCTCTCACTCGTCTTTGAGGTTCGACTGGTCGCGGTGCCATAGCAAGCAAATAAAAGGCGACATCATTCCTTGACAACTCAATACCACTTACAACTTACAATATTAAGCTCAATTTTTCAGATTCAAGTTACCTTAAGCGAAAACACATCACCACAGAGATCCGAACTGTTGCTTCTTGGAAAACGGATAAGAAAGTTTGCCACATATCAGAATACAACATCCATTGTGTTCATGAAAATCATGCCTTTTTTTGGTGAAATTTTCCAAAAGCGTGGCTAACACCATCCCTCTTATCTAGAATATATTGTCCTTCGTTCACTCTCCCCTCTCCAAAAAGTTTTTTGGTTCGTCTTTGTATAGCATTTCTTGGGAGAAGTAATACATATACTTGACACATCATAGCGAATCTGTTGGCTACTGTAATTCGAGGATACTGTAGGGCAGGAGCTCGAATTACCGTGATGAAAACAGTTTTTGTGTGATATCGCATGTGTCAGGTGATATGTCTCCTCAAGCTAAGATTTTCTTTCCTTTTAATTTTCTTAATTTTGGTTTTTAATTTTCTCAATAAAGAAGAATACAAAGTTTGAAGGTCCAAGGGTACGAGGGCAAAATACGGTCACATTATGAAGTTCACATATGGTTTTCTGTGGTGTCAAAATTACAAATAGCCCAACAGATTTTGCCTTGCATTTGTCTTACGTAGCGATAATAGGAGAACTCTATTTGTATTTCTGTTCCCATAATCATTGCCGAATGGGGAATTGTTTTCGTGCTATTAGCCGTTTACACACATTTACTATCACACGCTTTGGCTACACAATTAACCGAGCATACTGTATAATTATTTTTTTAATCTTTATGAAAAAATAAAACTTTGCAAGACGGCTACAGTATGCCAAGCACACCGATGGAATTAGCACTTGACATAAGTTTGCGTTTTTGAGCAAGGCTTTCTGCTCGGACGCTTGGATTTTCACTCGGAGATCCATTTCAATACACGAATTGATACAAGGGATTTTAGTGGTGTTGACAATGTAATCCAATGTCGTGGAACTGCTTTCGGTCGAGAGAGGGCACTTGGCGGAGAGGCTGAGACGGCGGCGCACAGGTGCGCCACAGCGACTTTCCCATGGATATGATTGGTATTAGACAGAGGCGAATAATGGATAGTCTCAGTGTCACTTATGGCTTTCAACATCTCAACCCTGCTCGCCTCCGGCTCCGAATCGGCTCAGGATTTGCCTTCTTCCGATTCGAATGGAGATGAGAGTCCTTCTATGGACGAAAAGGGAGAGTTGGACGCTTCAGCAAGTCACAGCCAGCAAGAATGGGTGCAGCCGGGCAGCAGCGAAGGCGAAACGGGTGAGTGCTCTGTCAGAATTCGCAAATACTAGGAATTCTGGAAATTTTGTGCTCACTTGGTTTGTCAAAGGGGAACTGCAGTTTTAACATTCTTAAATTTCATCCAAGACATATTTATCGCATCTTTAGGTAGTAGATTTGTAGCTTCTGCTTGGTCAAGTTCGAGCGCTATTTTTAATCAAAAATTTTGTATTTGAGTGGTTCAACAAGGTGTAAACAATTCTGATTAAGTGCACATAAAATAATCATACTTCATAGTCTCATACGCTCGACCCCTCACGGAAGCCAAAAATTTTTTACGTGCATAAATGAATTCACAGTATCATTGTACACTGCTCTTTAGTAAACCATGTAGCTTTCCTACATTTTCCTCCCTTCCTCCTCCCCCTCTTCCACCCCAATGCTCACCCTAGAAAAGTATTTATCTTGGAAGTTTCGAAGATTAGCTATGTAATAAGGTCCTAAATACAACTCTTTATTTGTCTAACCTTCAAGAAAACAGAGCTTTGATGGATATGACTTTCCAAAGCTATTAATTGCGAATGTACATACCTGTGTTTTCACACTGATTTTCAATTAGAGTACAAATGTGAAACGCACATTAGCCTGGATTGTGCACTTTTCCCACTGTGTAATAAACGAAGCGGTTATAACAATGGGACATTTAATAACTTCTCAAGCTCTAAGCTGAAAGCTGATTTTCCATTTTCGTTCATTTCTTTTGTCATAAGGTAAATTTGTAATTTTTTGATTTAGCATCCTATGGAAATGTGCTTTCACAATGGAATAATTTGGCATCAAGCCAATTGGCAATGTATGCGATCGCTCACGATATCAAAACTCCATCGCTTGTGGAACTGCAGATGCTTCTTGGAATGGGAGGTTTGTTGTTTTTTTTTTGCAGAGAGAAGGAGACCAAAACTGTTTGAACAATTGTAGAAATAGTGCAGAAAGTCGTGAATTTTACTCTCATCAGCGAATTTTGAGGTGCAATATATTCCTAACATTTAGCGCTTCGCTGTAACACAATAAAAGGGTATTCAGCTTTCAACATAACATTTTGATGTGCAGAATGCCCAAAAAAGGTGCACGCCCTTCAATCTTCTTATATATAAAGCTGAATGTCTGTTTGTCTGTCTGCCTGTCTGTATGTATGTATGTACGTATGTTCCGAATAGAAAATTCCATTTCTGAACCGATCCGGACCAAACTTGGCACACATACACTTCGGGCCCCGGCGGGTGTCATAGGCTACTTTTCGTCATCGATCGATATCGATTTTATCGATTTTTATCGATTTTTTTGCTGAGTGCACCTACGGGGCTGGGAGTTGGCACAGGGGGGTAATCGAGCATGGGGATTCCGAATACAATATTGGTTTTCAGGATTATCGATTACTTTTATCTATTTTATCGATTTTTTTGCAAAGTTTGAGCTACGGGGCTGGGAGTTGGCACAGGGGGGTAATCGAGCATGGGGATTCCGAATACAATATTGGTTTTCGGGATCATCGATTACTTTTATCGAATTTATCGATTTTTTGCAAAGTTTGAGCTAGGGGGCTGGGAGTTGGCACAGGGGGGTAATCGAGCATGCTGATCATCCCCAAGGGGGTGATCAGCATGCTCGATTACACCCCTGTGCCAAATTCCAGCCCCCTAGCTCAAATTTTGCAAAATCGATAAAATCGATAGAAGTAATGGATAATTCCAAAAACTAATATTGTATTCGTAATCTGCATGCTCGATTACCCCCCTGTGAAAACTCCCAGCCCCGCAGGTCAAACTTTACAAAAAAATCGATAAAATCGATAAAAGTAATGGACGATCCTGAAAACTAATATTGTGTTCGTAATCAGCATGCTCGATTACCCCCCTGTGCAAAATCCCAGCCTCGCATGTCAAAATTTACAAAAAATCGATAAAATCAATAAAAGTAACCGATAATTCTGAAAACTAATATTGTATTCGGAATCCCCATGCTCACATCCCCCCTGTGCCAACTCCTAGCCCTGTAGGTGAACTCTGCGAAAAAATCGATAAAAATCGGTAAAATCGACATCGATCGATAACGAAAAGTGGACTGTGACACGCGCCGGGGCCCGAAGTGTATGTGTGCCAAGTTTGGTCCGGATACGGCGGAGCCGGGTAAGCCAGCTAGTCATTAATACTCTTGCTTCAATGTCTTTCGACAGGTACCATTCCGTAGAGATGGCTTCAACCCAAATTCACAGTGTATATAGAGCTAATCTCCTTCATTATTGTAGGCTTACGATAAAAACTTGGAGAGGGTTCCAAACTATTAAGAGTCACATTTTGCCTCAGTAAAAAAAAACAAGCGATCCAAATTTTCAGTTTAGGCTGGTCCAAGTCGCTGATAGTGAGTAAGACTTCTGCACTTTACCATAATACTCCATTTATAGGTTTCTCCCTATATAGCAGGACAAGTGTTTTCCAGCGCTTCTCAAAAATGTGGCTAGACCTTAGAAAACTCAAATTCTTTGGAAACTGTGTGTTTAAGCCAGCATGTGAAACGGTGCCACACAATTTCTATCATAGTTGCTCTTTAGACTTACTGAAAATCCCTACCATAATCCTACATTGATGCCAGCTCTATAGAATGGTACTTCAGAGGCAGCGTACACTCAAAATTTCGCCTTCGATGTTTTTGTCATTCTGGGACCTTTCCGTGCCCCTGATTACAGTTATGACGTTAAATCCTCCGAAAGTCCCAAAAAAAAAACTCGATTTCCGGGGACCCTCTCTTCAAAGGGAGGACGAGTTTCGAATTGCTCGACCCCGTCGGCATGCCAGCGTGGAGCAGCTGCAACTGCAGGCTGTCATGCAGTTGCAGCTGCCCCACGGGGTCGAGCAAATCAAAACTTGCCCACTTTTTGAAGAGAGGGTCCCCGGGAATCGGGGTTTTTTGGGACTTTTGGAAGATTTCAATGTCATAACTGTAAATCAGAGGCACGGAAAGGCCCAAAATGACAAAAATATCGAAGGCGAGATTTTGGGTGTACGCTGCCTTTAAAAAGTGTGTACATTCTCTAAGGCACCTTTATGAGCGCACAATTTGCTGCAAAGTGTGTTGATATGAATGAGCGTCGAAGAACGGAACGGTGTTAGGACAAAAACAGCTTTGAAACTCTGGGCATCATGTAAGCTTATCAACTTGTGTAGAGCATAACATACGGCTCTCCAATCTGGTTGCTGTCTTCTTACATTGTGAACTTACTAATCGGATGCCGATGGATACCAATCCATGTCAGTTGAAATTCTTTTTAGCTAATACGTAGCCTCTTCTGGAAAACCTGAAAAATGATATCCATGTCTTTGTTCTGATCACGCATGACTGAAGACAATTTTAGCTCGAAAACACGATTACAAAAGATCAAGAAAGGCAATTGGTGACCGGAAACCGCGCCAGGCATATACTGCTAGGCAGCTAGAGAAGCTCGAGAGCGAATTTCAGGTAATTTTTCCATTTAGATACTTAGAGGGCATAAAAATTATTAGCATGGATGTTTTTTCGCCAGTCGTCGGAAACATTTTACTAAGCAAAGCTCTCTAAAATTGTACAGCATAGACATAGTGCAGTGTCAACTTTCTAACATCTCGCATAAAAAGACCGTATTTCATAGAAACAGCATTTTTTACAAAGGTACTACTTACTGTTGATAATGAAAATAGAAATGCAAATCTGATAGTGCACTTGCTAATTTTTCTATCTTTAGCAAACCTTTTCAGAATGACAAGTACCTAAGCGTGCAGAAAAGAGTTCAGCTTTCAAGAAGTCTCAATTTAACTGAGACTCAGATCAAGACGTGGTTTCAGAATAGAAGGTAAGAATTACTTTTACATACTACACTTCTGCAAATTTCTTCTTCGTAGGACCAAGTGGAAGAAGCAGTTGACCACTTCCATCCGTGAGCTCTACAGAGACAGAGCCGTGCCATCTCTAGCTTTACTGCCGTCCGTTCCCGTTTTTGAGCAAGCTCTAGTCACAAACACGACTCCAGTCGGATACAGTGAATTCTCCAAACATTTTCCCGTTGATAGTGGAAAACAACCGCATACAAACTCATAGAAAATGTATCGTTTATATGTTTGTATAATATTTCTATGTAATCAAATGAATTATTCAATGTGCTAAATTTCTAGATTTTCCATTGAATTCGTCGTCTTTCGAAAACTTCTTTATTTGAACTACTAGTAAACTCAAGGATTCAACAGTCGTCCCTCAAGTCCTCTTCGTCCTCGAAAGCTACAACCGCTATTTGAACTTGGCTCTAGTCTTTCTCAGCCTTGCGCAGAATTTGAAATCGCGCATTTTCTTGAGAGATTTCAGTCCAGAATCTTTCGTTTGTGGTTTTACCGTATACCAGGGTATTCTATGCTTGGAACTGAGATGACACATAAGAATCGTACACTGATCTTTAAGATTCAAGAAAATACTCTCAAAATATAGGTCGTTCATAAAATCGTGACGTCCTCAGAGCAGAAACACTCATACAGAAATGCATCGCCTCAACCCTCAGCTCAGTCGCTTTCAATGTCTAAATACTGTCATATGTAAGCAGAAAAGCCGTTCGAGTAGAGATGAAAACCAAGAAGATGCGGGATCGCGCCATCGTCACGATTTTTCGAATGCGCTATACCTATGGCAGTGCTCATGATAGTTCGTTTCGCAAGAAACGAAATTAAAAACATTAGTAGGCGACACAGGCGAGCAGGCCATATGCACCTCAGAGGCAACTTTCCATCTATCTCTGCATCTCTGTTCTATCTTTCCTTCTAATCGCCATACCCCGACGTAAAAGGGTGAGGCCTATGCGAATGGGCTAAACCATGCGAGCCTCGGTTACATCACCAAATCAACCTTATTTACGAAGATTGGTTACGAGGTAGGAGGATTGCAAGTATATTAAGTGTGAGAACTCAGACAATAACTCGGACGAGCGGCGGGCCTCTACCGGGCGGGCGATCACGCCTCCCGCCGCTCGTCCTCTAGAGGCTCGCCGCCCGCCCGCTAGAGATATAAAGCGTGAGCGGAGTACCTTTAGCGGGCGACCATCACAACTCCCTCCACTCTTCCGCTGAAGTACTTCGCCCGTCCGCTGTACATCAAACCGGGTGAGCGGAATGCCCTTAGGGGCTCTAATCATGCTTACCGCCTCCGACCCTCTCCTTACAGAACTACAAGGATCCGACAGCCTGCAGCCTACCGCTTATAGTCTGCAACTTTGGCTACAGACACACAATTTGATTCCCACAACGTATTCTAATGATCAATTTATTAGGACGCGTAAGCAACAACACAAAACGCAGAAAACGACAAGTGATATTCCAGCCACCATGAAGCAAGGTAATGGTAGTTGATGTGGATCTGCTTTTACGTATGGTAGAGGGAAACAGATGTTGCAGAGTCCCTAAAAGAAACTGAATAGTATATATGCTTCTGAATTTCCATTCAGCTCCAATTTTCACTCGGATAACCCTTTACTTGCGATCTGTGCAGATACACATTGAAAATGCGATTCTGAAACATCGTAATGCACTTGCTTTCAACACGATCAAACTTAAACCTACTTCTAACTTCATCCACCTCAGACTTATCTTCACTTTTGCTTACCTCTTTAGCTTTGCAGAAGAACCAAACCTCTTCTTATCGAAAATTCTCCTAAAAAGTCGGCTTTCTGCATATGCCAAAAATTAGTCGCTGTCATAGTCAAAATTCACTTCTTTGTATCGGATTCTTCCTCAGGTTCCCTTTCTGGGATGTAGTGAATGTAGAGAGAAGTTCAAGTGATTTATCGACAACAGCTACCTCCAATCATTTAAGTAGCTCAAATAGCCACCAGGCCATGAAAACAATTGACAAAATGAAGAACACTGCAATGAGATTATTTTGATGTTTTATGCCAATACGAGGTTTGGTGAAGCCTTTTATATAACAACCAGTGCTTCACCTCTGCTTCGCAGAGGTTCGCACTGGCATCGTGAACCGTGGTAGACTCACTTTCTGAGAGCTTGTCTCTCAAATCGTTGTTCGGTTTATTGCAAAGTGAGCCGTAGTTAAAAATGAACCATACTCGCTATCTTAACCTCACATGATGTTTAGTATCGTAAATCATTCCTCACTGTAATTTCGTAGCGGACAAACTCCACACAACTTCAGATTAAGCCGCTTATTTATAACAATGCGGCCCCTTACGTTTCGACTTATCGTCGTCTTCAGAGCCCTAGGGTGGTGCGAGTGTAGATCTTATGCTTATTCCATAAAATGCCTTATCACACTCTGGCTAGTTGCGCTCCCCCCTCCGATTTCACAAGAAAAATTCGCACAAAGAGGAAGAATTTCACAAGAAAAATTCGCATTAAGAGGAAGACGAACCAACCTCAGTGCCGCTTCACCCATGGTGCACTGGTGGTACTGTGCAACCCGTTTTGACATGTCAGTAGTGCCAATGAGCTGCACTAGGCAGCTTGATATTATGCATATGTAGTAGCACTACATTATAGCTCACATAACGCTATGAACGGTATCAAGTCATTCGTAATCGTTAGACACTCCTTTCGATTCAAACTGTGTCAGTATAATGTAGCCAGCACGAGGTTTGGGCGAAGCAATTTATTACATCAGTGGCCTAACGCGTTTCGACTACTCGTCGTCTTCGGAGGCCTAAAGTGGTGCGGGATTAGTGATCTTATGTCTGCCCCACCAAGTGCTTCGTCAACCCTCGGTCAGCTTCTCGATCCCCTCTCAAGTTTTACATGCAAAAGTCGCTAGATGGGAGAAGACGAACAAACCTTTGCTCCACCGCCGGTCACTTGATGATATAGTGCGACCGCTTCCTTGGTGACAGTAGTGCCAATGAGTCACATTAAGCGGCTCATTGTAGATGTAATCATCGCACTACTCTATCATAGCTCACACAGTGATAAAAATGGCATGAAGTCATTCGTAACGGCTAAGCACTCGTTTCTTTTGTTCATAAGCGGCTTTTTGCGTGTGATCCAGAACGCTTCGAGAGCTTTCCGCGCAGACGTATCTTTTTCGTAAGCCAAAATTGTACATTTGATCTCGTAGTCTTGATCGCGGTGATATTCATGTTTATGTCTACCGAGCGGCGAAACTAGACTACCTCTTCGTTTATTGGCAAGGTGTTCTTTAACTCTTACGCCAAGTGGTCTTCCGGTTTCTCCTATATAGCTAGCACCACAAACTAAACATTCTATCTGATATATTACCCCTCTTTTCGCGCAATCACCAATGCTGCTATGTGGACAAACTACGCACTCTTTCGAGATGCAGTATTTGTCATAAAGCCTGTTCCGTACAAGTCGTCTTTTGAGATTGTCGCTCGGAATGTTCACTAAAATGACATCGTCGCTCAGTTGTGCTCGTTTAATGCTGTGCCGTATTGCAACACTGATTTCATCCGAAATGAAAGGAAGACAGAGCGCTATTTTGTTGTTATGTTGAGCAGTATTTCGTGAAGGGAATGGTCTACCCCGAGCGTGGTGCATCGGATAGCCATTTTTCCTTGCGATGCTCAGTGCAACATTTCGCGACTCTCTCTGCTCTTTCTTTCCCGTACATACTTGTGTTGCTGTTCTAAACATATTTCGGACTACAGCATTTTTGACGGCTGATGGATGTGCCGAACGAGCATGTAATAAGATATTTTTAGAGCTACTTTTACGATACCATTTTACATAAGTGTCGCAGCCAGACAGTTTGATTTGAACGTTTAAATACGGAAGCCAACCATCAACCGGCTGTTCACGCGTGAACCTTATGTACTGCGACTGCTGATTGAGTAATCGGAAACACTCGTCCATTTCGGACTGAGTGGATGTCACTATCCAGCAGTCGTCCACGTAACGACAATACATAAGTGGTAGTCTTGATAGCACCGGTTTTTCGATCCTACTCATAAAGCATATCGCAAGAACTGGAGCAAGCCGTTGTCCCATTGCGAGTCCCCTTTGTTGAGCGAAGTACGTGCCTGACCATCTGAAGATATTACAAGATAGGCATTCTCTGATCAGGACCATGACGTGATGTTTGCTCAATCCAAAGGTTCGAATGCTTGTACTAAACTCATCCATCATTTCGGATACCGCTTGTAAAGCGTCTTCATTTTGAACGTTGGTATATAGAGACACAACGTCAAAAGATTCTGCTACACATCCACTTTCGAATTTGGAGGATTTCAAGCGGTCGAGGAATTGTTTAGTGTTTGCTAAATGGGAAGGTATTTTGTCCAGTAATTGCCCTACAATCTTACTCAGAAACCAAGATATTCTGTCGGTTGGGCTTCCAACACAACTTATTATAGGTCTTATCTGAAACTGTCTGGCCGCCATCGAGCGAATGTCGTCACTTTCTGTAAACTTGTGAGTCTTTACAAGGCTATAGAAAACCGGACATAATGGCGTGTCTAACTTAAGTCTGGCAAGAAAGCTCTCGTTGAGGCCAGCTGCTTTTCCTATGCTCATCCAAACGTGATTTAAGCGCTTGTACTGCGAATGATATTCCTTTTCGGAAACGCGCCTGAACACACTCTTGTCATTGAGATGGAGTTCAGTGATTTCTCGATCTAATTCCTGTGGTATGATCACAAACTCTTCACCTTTATCACTGACAGAGATGCGCACTTTTTCAGATCTTATCAAATCGCGTACTTCTTTATATCCAAGCATCTCTGAATAAGTCAAGTTAGTGCGGCGGCAAGGTTTTGGCTGTGTGTAAGCAGTCAAAACGTTTGAGGATAAAATTCTGAACTTGACGTCTGCCTCAGGTATCGGTTGAGGCTCTCTATAAAAAGTGCTTGGAAAGGGAACACAAGGAAGTGACTGGTCATCTCGTACTTCTTGTGCGTTTGGATCTCGTTTTTCGCTATTTTTGGCCCTTATTCTCAATTGATCTCGTAGTCTGTGGAGACCAGTGATGACTTCAAGAAATACGCTTTCGAGATGCAGTATTTGTCATAAAGCCTGTTCCGTACAAGTCGTCTTTTGAGATTGTCGCTCGGAATGTTCACTAAAATGACATCGTCGCTCAGTTGTGCTCGTTTAATG